CTTTGTTTTCTACGGATACTTAAATTTAGTATTTGTTTTGTTTCGAAATTTTACGGATATCCAGATTTGTCAGATCGGATCGGAGCGAATAGCGAATCGAAACGGATCTCAGATATTTTTTGTCCAATTGAATGTTGTTGATAGAGATATGGTTGAGACGGGAGAATTGTGAGGGTAGTTTCGAAATAAGAGAAGATTGTTAGGGTTATATTGATCTTTAACTAGTATGATTCGCACGGGGAGGAATTCGATTTGATGCATTGCAAAGTAATAAATATTAGAGAAATCCATTGTTCTCATTGATATTTTTGTTTATTATCATGTTCTCTCTTTTAAAAGATAGAAAGACACTTTACTCTTGCAAACAATTGATCATCTGATCATTTCTGAAAAAAAAATACAATTGATCATCAGAACCCAAATTATCAACAAATCACTTGTGAATTTTCATAATAAAGATACACAACCATAATAAGACTCATAATAACAAAGAACGAGTTACTTAACCAATTGTTAGTTCTTTGACTTAATGATATTCATACAATTTTACGGTGAGTGTTTGTGCTCTTTCTTCACCTTCATGTCTTCGTCTAGTGTATTCTCAATTCCTCATAATATCATTCTTACCGAGTTTTCTGCTTTCTCGTATGCTCAAAGCACCCATGCTTTATGTGTTCTTAGTGTACCTCTCAGGGCTGGCCCTGAAAATACATGGGCTACAAACATAAATTTAAAAAAGGCTCATGAATTAACAAAAAAAATATATATATATGTTGCTGCTATTGTTTATAGTAGAACCTTGCACCTCCTCTCCATCATAATTGGAACCAACCAACTCAGCTAAAGAAAACATTTACCAATGCACGACCAAAATATTACTTATTCTATTCAGGGCCGCAAGCACAAGCTTGTTTTGATTGCCCTCAAGACCGGCTTTGGTACCTCTGCAGTGACTCTTTCAACTACACAGAAATTATATTCATAGTTATAGTGCATTTGATGATGGAAAGAATAAAAAAGCAACTAACAAAGCAATGGTTCTGAAGAACAAAACTATAACAAAAGCATGGTAGTAATCTTGCAACTAAAAATAAATAATCCATAATTGCAAAGTGACAGAAGTAATCTAGATCGACTAAAAAAGATCCAAAACAAAATGAGTTATACCGAATCTTCATGAAATTATTTGGACTTGAAATATTAAATCGGTAGAAACACATGATAAGGTTATTATCACATCTTAAATCAGAAATTAATTCATTACATATCGGATGTTTAAAAGATTGGTAGTGAGATAATAACAAAATAAAGGACAATTGATACAGAATATTTGTTAAATTCAATAAAACTCACAATTGTTAAGACTGAAGAAGAACAGCCGCTGACTCTTGGATCAAACTTGAGCATTCAAAGAGATGCAGTAGTGATTGACATTATATGACAATCCTGAAACTTTGTGAATAATCTTCTCGTGTACTATATTGAAAAATATAGGAGAAATGGAAAAAAAAAATGACTCGAAAAGAAGTTGAAGATAACAAAATAGAAATAAATGAATGATTGATCACTTCTTGAGTTTTATTTTAAATAGAATGTGGAATTGACAGTTGCAAAGAAAAATGTTTGTGGGATTAACACGTTTTTTGTTGATGATTTTTGTGTTCTAATTTTTGAATATAGAAAAGATATACTAAAAAAGTGAAAATTGTAAAATGAAAACTGCTTAAACGTAACCGCATGAAGATAATGGAATGTAGATCATGGAGAAGTGGATTACTTGATAGTTTAATAAGAGAGAAAATCACGGTTTTATTTTTTTTTTTCAAAAATAAAAATTTAATTATGGTAATTGAGTATCCAAAA